TTGTTGATGAGCTTCCTGTAAAGCTTTTTTCTCCTTGGTGAGTTTGGCAATGATTTCGTCCAATGCAGCCATCTCCTCTGTCAGGTTCTTGACCTATAGGCCAAAAGGTTTTCAGTGTGAACCAATGGTATTTGAGAGCATGATGTGTTTTGGTGTAGTGGTTAGTCTTTATGGTACCTTGTTCTCTGTAGCGTGTTTCTCTTTCTCCACCTTTGCCAGAGTTAGCTCTAAGTCATCAATATCCTTCTTTAACTCAGAGCATTCATCCTCCAACTTCCTCTTCTTTGCAGTCAGTTCAGCATTCATCTCCTCCTCGTCCTCCAGTCTTTCTGTCAGTTCCTTGATTTTTGCTTCCAGTTGAATCTTACTCTTGATCAGGCCCTCACATCGTTCCTCAGCATCAGACAGATTATCTTGCTCCTTTTATCAAAATAAATTAACATGTTTTACAGAATGGTTATAATAAGCTGTGTTAAAACATTAAAAATCACAGTTTCAACATACAGTTTGGACTTGGAGCTGCAGGTCGTTCTTCTCTTGGAGAAGAGAGACCATTTTCTCCTCTAGTTCCTTCCTACGGGCTTCGGATTTTGCATAAGCCTCTTTGAGTTTGGTAAACTCCTCCTTCATGTTGGCCATCTCTTTCTCAGTCTCAGCTGATTTTAACAGAGGTTTGATCTTGAAGTATAACTTCATCCAGGGCCAATTCTTGACCCCCATGAAGGCGCGGATGTTCCACTGAATCACAAGTAGTGCGTCCCTGTGTGCAACATTTTGTATTAAAGCAGTTGTGAAACTGTCACAATTTTATATTGCAATGTATCTCTTTTATACCCCATATTATTTGTTTCCCACTTTCTTAAAATAAGTTATAACATTGCCAGTCCTTTTAAATTAGTTTATTTAAAATTAACATATGTACTAGATATTAATTACCTGCGTTCTACAATCTTCTGGAATTCTATTCTTGCAAGAACTCCCCTGGATCTTGCCTGGATCCTCGTTATAATGAGAGCCAGACGGTCATCTCTCATCTCCTCCAGCAGACCAAGGAGCCCAGCTTTGAAGAACACCTAGTTTATTTAAACATGATACTTAGGCATGTGTGGGAGTGTTCATGTGTAAGATTCTGGCTCATTTAAACTTTCTACGTGTGTGATTTAGATGTCATCTCAATATCAGATCTAAATATAAAACAAAAATAATAAATTATTTTAACTGACTGGCATGTACAGAGATCTGACAAATGTTTATACAACATAGATTTACTTACCTTGGTGTGACCCAATTTGTACTGGTTGTGATCGATATCTAGGGAACCTAGAAGCTTCTCTGAAGCCTTCTTGTTATCGATGAACTGTCCCTCAGGTATGGCACTTGGGTTTAAGATGCGGTATCTATAACAAAAGTAAAAGATCGCGTGTAATGTCTTTGGAATAAAATGCTCAAATTCAACTGCCACTCATATTTTCAGGTTTGTTAAATGGTATTCAAAAATTTTGTAAAACCCAATGAACTCCAATTCAACAATAGAATCTATGAACAAAGATATACTCAAGGGATATAAACAGTCTAGGACACAGTCTAGGACGAATAAAAGCTGGAAAAGAGGCTTTTTTAGGTCCTTTCATTTTGAAGCAACATGTACTTAAACTTTTTTGTAGACTAGTGTCTTTTGTAATCAACTAACCCAAGAAGAAATGTTTGATTTATGTAAATTATGTTCAAAATGCAATATTTGTAACAAATACATCCAAACATAGTCATTTTTGTTCTTTAGCATTTCTATATTTGACTTCTAATCAACAGGAAACCTCTGCTTGAAGTCTCCATAGAGGATCCTGTTGGGGAAGCCCTTCCTGCAGATCCTGATGCCTTCCAGCACACCGTTACAGCGCAGCTGGTGCATCACCAGAGGATTCTCCATGGCCCCAGGAGTCTTGGTCTCGTTGGGGATGATGCAGCGTACAAAGTGGGGGTGGGTAGACCTCAGGTTGGTCATCAACTTATTCAG